AATACAATCAGCCTATTAGAATCTAACTATGCCAATAGAATTAAAATACTTCCTTCAATTTTCATATTTATACACTATTATTCTCATATTAACAGAACAACAAAAGAATAAGTGAATGCAGTGGTACCTAAAAAAAATAGGGCAAGATCAAGAATTAGTCTGTAGTGTCTATAAAATGTGTCCCCATAGGAAATTAATAGAGTTGAAATGATCCTTTGCTTGAGTCCCTCAGTTTTCCTTGCCTAAGGAGATATTGCCAAGGATCAGACTTATATGGTTTCTATAAGCTTCCAGGGAAAGGCAGTATCTGACAATGAATTTTATTTGGCTAAGGACAGCACAGGGGTTCCGTTTGCTTACTTCTTTCTTTCATAGGGAGCACTGGAAGATGGGATTTTATGTGATAGGGTGTATTGGTCATTTGAGTTCATTTCCCCCCTCTAAGTGTACTTTAAATCACAATTGCATAATCTGACGCTTCAGAGTTGTAGTTGGTCTCCTCAAAACTTAGGTGGGACACCCAGAGATCTCAAAAAGTTACTATCAAATTCCATTTTTAGTACATCTGAAAGTGAAAATAGTTTAGTAGGGAGGAATCACATTAATTGTATTTAATTAAATGTAAATGAAATGAAATCCTAATCCTATTTTGCAGTGTCCCATCCAAGGTCTAAAAAAACTGTCAGGGAAATTTATTGCATTGTTTGGGTTGTGGGTTAGTAAAAGTGTTTGCAGTTTACTATACAGTAGGCTTTGTAAGTTTGCTATATAGTAAGTTTATAAAACTCACTAGAATTTACTATATGGAACACATGCTTAACTTTATACATGTAATTTATGTAGTGAAGCTAATTTTAATCAACAATGGAACAAATTAGGGATCCATATCCTTATTTCTCAACACAATATAGGCTTTCATTATGAATAAAAAAAGGAAAATTAAATTATTAAATAATTCCCTTTTGACAATGACAGAGAAATTAGAATTCAGCAGACAGACAGGTTGCATTTCCTCTATCATCTCAAAGAAGTTTTGAGATTTTCGTAGATTGTATGCATGCATTTGAATCTAATGATTAATCAGTATTAGTTAAAAGGAAGAGAATTTATCAACTGAAATTCTGTAGACTGATGATATATAGCAAGAGGTTTAGAAAACTGATATGCACTAATTGAATATGCAGCTACTCTAAGAGAATTATTGACAGAGTTGTTATTATAACAGATGATATCTTCTGAAGCTAGTGAGCCTCTTGATGTCAACTGTACTGTAAGATATTAAAGTCAGACTTACATTAATGGTGTTTTCTCTTTAATCTCCCTTCTTAGAGTTTTAAGGGGCTGGGCATATTCTTCCCTTAAAGCTGGATTTTATTTATTTGTCCTGCTGTTTAATAAACAGGACCCTAAACCACCAAAACAAGGTAACCCATGCTTTTAAAGTTAAAATTTAAAGGATGGGATTGAAGAAGAAAAAATTCTGAAGTCCTTATAATGGCCGCCAGAAAAGGAAAAGAGCAGCTCACACTTCAAAAAATTAGATTTATTCATGTTTTTTAGAAGTAACTTTGAAGAGCTAGTCTTCCTGGAAATTGCTGTTGTTGTAGCCAGAGGTTGTTAAGTTTTATGTCTTGCAGTCTTAAATTCTGAGATATTACTGGATTTTGCAAGTGTCTCCTTTCTGAAGGTTCAGGGAATTCCAGCTGACAACCCCATGGATTAGATGCCTTAAATGGCAGTTCGTTTCAAAGTTCTTTACGAAGGAGAAGATAGGCTTAGTTGATGAGAAGTGATTTCAGTACTATGGATGCAGCAAGTCCTAAAAGCATATTGAAGGATATAGTTAGATTTCCTTTATTAGTCACAGAGTCTTGCCAGCTTTGCTTAAGCTAGAAACTTCTTTGCAAAGCACAGCTGTGTGAGCTTGGAGGAAGCTGTCTGGGCTATTAGGTTACACCAGGCCACTGACTAACAGAACAATTCTTATCTGATCAATACAAAGCTGCCTCTGTAAAACACATTCGTAGAGAAGCCTGTATACTCTGGTTATTCAGTCCTTCTAAAGCCTAATGAATGAAAGACATTTGGCTCACAAAAACAATTACAAGCATATATTTTGTGTCCTGATGCCCGCTGATACTTATTTATTGTATTCAGAGAAGTAGTTTTAAGAATCAGGTCACAAATATGTAAAATGCCATGAATCTTTTTTTTCCATCAAAAAGATTGTATTTATTTTCCTGTTCTGCAGGCCTTTGGAAACTTCAGCCAAACTGCCAGTACCTTTTTTGCGACAAGTTGTGCCCGTTAAGAAAAAGGTGGGTATTCTTGTGTTGAAACACACAAAACAGATTGGTTAAAAAAAACCAAAAATGATTGACAAACATACTGGGGGAATATTTGACAATTTGAGCATCAAATTTATTTGGAAGAAAATCGTAACTTTGGTTGCAATATTTGAGAAGTCTCTTAATTTCAAAAGTGAAATGCTGAAGAGGTTGAAATGAGGGAAAGGAATATGGCCAAACTGGTATTGTGCTCCCATAATACGGGCTTCCTAGAACATACAAATATTTTCTGACATTGCTGAGATGCTAGTATTGATCTCATTTCCTCGTCCTCAGGTGTCCAGAGATCCTCGTTTTGATGACCTCTCTGGGGAATATAAACCAGAAGTGTTTGAAAAAACATATAGTTTCTTAAATGATGTGAGGAAGAAGGAGAAAGAGGTAATGATGTGACAGGGTCCTGCGTTTTTCTTCCTTCAGAATGAAAACAGGTATCCCTAGAGAGTTGGTGCTTTCCTATTTTGCAGGTTATTCAGAAGCAACTGAAGAAAAGTCAAAATGTGGAAGAGCAGAACAAATTGCAGCAGCTCCTTAAGCGAATGGTGAGTTGGTGCCAAAGAGAATTTAAATAGCCAGTTCACCCTTCTGAAGTAAAGGCAACTGGCAGAAACAAAGCTGTAGAGAGCACTGATGATAAAACCATGAGGCAAAGGAATTTGAGGAGAGGAAAAACACAACATCTTTGTTTCTTGCCCCTCTTTGTTCCTTAGACACAACAGGAAGAAGCACAGAGAAAATGCCAGAAGAAGAGAGAAAATTCCCTGGCATTCAAGAGGCAGCAAAGAGAGCTGGCCAAGCAAGGAAAGAAGCCTTTCTTCCTAAAGAAATGTAAGCGTTTCCCACTTAAGATAACAGCTGCTCTACCAACCTTAATATGATCCCCTTCCTGTATATATCAGTAAATATTATAATAATATTTATATTAGTAAATATTAGAAATATTAGGAGTCCTGATTGTGCTAGTTGATTTCTACAAATTGAAGATTAAGGAATTTATTTGTGTTTATCTTCATCATCATCACCAAGTCAGTGGAGCCCTTGATGGTATCTGTTACAAAGGCTGGTTCGAGTGGTAGCATTGTTTCTGCCGCAAACAGTCTATAAGTGTGGCATCCAACATGCCTGCACCAGCAGCGTTTACTTTCTCTAAATCATTGAATCATTTGCTAAATTATTGAATTATTCTCAAAATTATTAAACGAGGAGTGGTTTAGGATAGCTACTGCCAGTACTTAGATGAGTTTTTATATGTTATTTTCATAGCAATTAGTTACTAACCCATATCACATGATTTTTAGGATCAAGTTGAAAGATTATGTTGGCAGGAAAAAATAGTAGCTTATAGAAAATAATTGCTTAGGGTATTACGAATACTTGACTTGAATTAAAACCTCCATCCCTTCTTGACATCTACAGCTGAAATGCAGAAATTGGAACTTGCTGAGAAATACAAAGAACTGAAGAAAAGTGGGAAGTTGGAGAGTTTCCTGAACAAGAAGAGGAAAAGGAATGCTGCTAAGGATAAAAGGAGACTCCCTTTTCGGAAGGATAGCTAATGTCTGGCTACCCCCCTCAAAAGAAGACTTCAGCTACAGATTCATACTTTGTCAATTATACAGGCAACTCTAGGAAAGATGGCCTCTTGAGCTTTAAGCCAGGCAGTAAGGGTAAATAGCCAGGAATCATCCCACAATTCAGGATACTCTGCCAAGTAATTTATGTCTGCTGGGAAAAAAAATATTGTTGTGCAAAATTATGTTATTTCAATTTCACAAGCACCTCTTAAACTTTGAAAAATGAATATTTTTAGTGATTACATTTCCTGCTGCTTGTTCTTTTCTTTTTAGGGCAAGAAGTAATAGATCCCTATCAATCTGATTTTGGTCCCCTCTGCTTTTCCCAAAAATGATCTTCCTCATTAGTCCTGCTTGATTGTGGTTCTAGCTGTTTTATTTGCAGAGCTTAACAGAATAACAATAACTGATGCTTAATGAATTTCCCAGTGAACAGCAGCTCCATCTTCTTAAACTTTGGTTAGGGACAACTGTTTTTTGTTTGGGTTTTTATTGTAATATGAATGCATTTACTTTTACCGCTGAAGCGGACTACGAGCAGTCCATGTTTTTAGCAGATTTATAGAAAAATTGTATAAACATATAGAGAGTGTTACTATACAGTATGATACTGCAATTTACATTTTGACTGAGTTTGCTGGATCTCTAATTAGTATCATTGTTTCACTCGGTGTATTTAAAAATAAATTTGTTAATTTTATAAAGTAAATATTTTATTTGTTGGTACAGACTGTAGGAATAATAATGCATAAATCATCTTAGCAATACCTCATAATCAAATAAAAGTTTTACATTTTTTGAATGTTCTAGGTATGGTTAGACATGGCACATACTGACTCTCTTTCTTGAACCAATTTTGATGTTTAGAGCATCTCCTGCATTACATACCTGAGGCATGTTTATTTATTTATTTTATTTATTTATTTTATTTATTTTATTTGTCAATCACTTACAAGATAATAGATATAAGTATAAACCTGAGTAAGAATACAGGAAATAGGTATGAATAAATGGGGACAATAGGACAGGGACAGTAGGCACAATGGTGCACTTATGCACGCCCCTACAGACCTCTTAGGAATGGGCTGAGGTCAATAGTGGTTAGTTTGAGGTTAAAGGAGTGGGGGTTAGAGGATGTAACAACAGAGTTAGGTAGTGCATTCCAGGCATTGATCACTCTGTTGCTGAAGTCATACTTCCTGCAATCAAGTTTGAAGCGGTTTACGTTGAATTTGTATCTGTTGTGTGTGCTTGCATTGTTGTGGTTGAAGCTGAAGTGGTCATTAACTGGTAGGACATTGTAGCAGATAATTTTGTGTGCTACGCTTAAGTTTAACCATAGCCGGTGTAGTTCAAGATTGTCCAAGCCCAAAATCTCAAGCCTGGTGATATAGGATATTCTGTTGTGAGCAGAGGAGTGTAGTACTCTTCTTGTGAAATACTTCCGGACTCACTCGATTGTATTAATGTCTGATATGCAGTGCGGATTCCAGACTGATGAGCTGTATTCGAGCATTGGTCTGGCAAAAGTTTTGTATGCTCTAGTTAGCAATTCGATATTTCTGGAGGAGAAGCTTCATAAGATTAGATTTACAACTCTTAATGCTTTTTTGGCAATGCTGTTACAGTGAGCTCTGGCACTTAGGTCATTTGATATGAGAACTCCAAGGTCCTTGACAGAGTGAGGATCATCAACGAGGTCATATCCGCCTAGTTTGTATTTGGTGTACTGATTTTTTTTACCAATGTGTAGGACAGAGCATTTGTTGGTCAAGATTTAGAGTTGCCAGATGTTTGACCATTCAGACACATAATCAAGGTCGCTTTGAAGGATAGTAGCATTGTCAGTGGTGTTGAATTGTTTTATGTCATCCGCAAAGAGGATGCAGTTGCTTGTAAGGTGATCGCAAAGGTCATTTATATATAGTATAAAGAGTGTGAGTCCTAGAATTCTGCCTTGGGGGACACCGCTGTTAACTGGAGCAGGGCTCCCTATTTTTACTATTTGTTGCCTGCTTGACAGGAATGCAGTAATCCACTTATGGAGGGATCTGGAAATACCGTAAGAGTTTTAACAGTAGTTTGTCGTGTACCACTGAATCAAAGGTTTTGCAGAAGTCTATGTAAATTGCATCTATAGCTTTATCCTGGTCAAGTAGAGTAGTCCATATGTTTTTGCGGTGTAGGAGTTGTAGATTGCAGGACATTTTTTTCCTGAAACCAAATTGTTTTTTGGAGAGTGATGAATTTGTTAATGATTGATTCCATGACTTTGCACGTGACTGAGATTGGTCTGTAGTTTTCAACCAGGCTGAGGGTCACATTCTTTGAAGATAGGGATGACCGTAGCTAGGGACCATAGGTTTGGTAAGGAGCTGGTTCTGAATGATATCTCATATATAATGCTTAGGGGTTCCGCTATGGCAGAGGAGAGCTTTTTTAAGAAGTATGCATATAATTCAGAACCGGTTAGTGGTCCCTGGGATCGAAAATTATGAGTTTGGTGGTCCCTGAGTTCCAAAAGGTTGGCAACCCTGATCTAGACAAAGGATTCCCCTTCATCTTCTTATAGATTGACTGAAATGCATTTGATCATCTAAACCACTAAAACAGAGAAACCCCTATAGGTACCACCTAATGTATCCTTAAATGAAAAGCAGAAGTGCAGATTGATTTGTTTCTACAGTATTTCTCTTCTGGGTATACTTGCAAACTTCCTGAGAAAGAAGTTTTACATAGTAGGCTGACTATGCTATAATAAAATTAGCTGTTTTGGTATGCGCTCATGAAAATGAATGACCCAGATACAGATAAGAAAGTTTCTTCAGTGAAAAACATGTGTGATTAAAGCAACCATTGGGAACTATAAAAAGCAATGAGAACCTTTGTGCCCAAGGAAAAGAGGTAGTTAGGGAGAGAGAGATGAACTAAATATACCTGCTGCATGTTGCAAGCAAAAGAGAAGCAGTAGTGCAGTAAATTAAATGTAGAGATTCAAAGTTGATTTCATTCTAGCTGGATGCTGAGAAAACCCTTAATAATTTACTTTTTTTTCTTCCAAGTTTGTCAATGACTCTTGAATGGATGCTATTTCAATCTCTTAGAGATGAACTAAAGGTTTCAAATTGAAGTTTAAACAGCCAATAGTTTGAAAATGAGGCAAGTTTTTCTCCATTTGTTGTAAAAAGCAACTTCATAAGTCCTCTGCCAATTGATTTATTTCTTATTTCAAATATTTATTAATCACTTTATAGCTAATAGTTCTCAGCTACCATCCCATTTTTATTAAATGAAACCTGTGGAAATAATCAAAATACCTTAAAAATCAAAGAAAACAAAAAGCAGCACAGAAAAAAATTAAAAATCTTAAAAAATCATAGTTATTTTAAAAGTGTTCATATTTCTCTGAAAAGTATCTTTCAAACCACATTTCAATGTTGTTTCTTTTAATATGTCCAGTCCTCCTAGAGTGCTTGAAGAATATATAAAAATTTAATTTTCCTGGATTTGAACAACTTCCCAGTCAGTGCAAGAAGCATGGTTTGGTCTTTTATTTTTCCAACAAAGTCTTCCATTTCTCCCAGATCATTATAATGAAGACCATCCTTTGTATGGTTTTGGTTGTTTTGTTTATTCTCTAGGGAGCACAAGTGAAAATTGATCTTTTTCTGCTGCCAGTTGTCTATGTTTCTAAAGAATGAAAATATTTTCCTGTTTAAATTATAAGAATTTACAATATAAACAAGAATACTAAAGAAGGGAGAAATAGAGTAGTTTTGTGAAGACAAATGATTGGATATCTGGCTCAAATATTTACAAGTGTCCCATTTTATACAGTATATTGTAATTAGGTCCATCTTAACTACTCCCTCAGATTCCCTGCTGTTCCTGGACAGTTGGGAATTACTGCTTTGTATCTATTGGGCTGTAACTTATATCAACAGTGTACAGCAGCAGTTCTGGTTGGAAATTATAGAGGTTACAGTCAAACATCCCTATAATGCACCAACTTTAGGGAGGTTGTGATAGTCCTTGCTTCAGTGAATTTGTTTTTACATTTCAGATGAGGCTTGAGGCCCAGATGAGAGTTGAACCCAATGTCTTAGATTCTTTTGAGCGAGCTTTGGGTGAGGCAACTTTAGAAGCAAAGGTTTCTGACCTGGGCTAATATTTATCAGGAAAGTTTATGGGGTAATGTGTAGGGTCTATTGAGATTATTGGAGTGTAATCTTAGATGTATAAGAGATTGCATCCTAAACTATATCCTTCATTTATTTATTTTCAGAATTTACATGACTGCCTATCTTGTATATTGATCCTAGGCTGCTCACAACAATCAATAAAAAGAAGGATAAAAGCAAAACCACCTTTCCTGCAGGCACCAGACCAAACAACCTCACAGATGAATCTCCATCCTAGCTCAATATCGGGGGAAAAAACCAGGTGTTCATGGTCTTCCAAAAGTATAATAAAGTAGGGATCCTTCAGATTTTAGGAACAGCAAAGTTATCCTTTTTAATAAATAGGGCTTCATTGCTATGGGGAAAGACATGTGCTAATTCTAACATATCTTATTTTGGCCATTGGTCATTTTCTGGGAGGTGGGAATTCTGGTACTCCCTTTACCTTGAAGTGTGCCAGATTGGGGAAAAGCTTAACTATATACGATGCACCAGTTAGAAAAAATCTGCTAATTTTCTTCATAGCTGGAAAAGAAGGTTATTTAAGATTTTAGTGCCAGGAACAGAGAGGGCACCATCTTGGAGAAGATTTCAAGTTTGCTAGCAAAATATACACTTGCAAAGCTATATAGACATATGCTATCATGAGGATCATGCCATGCTTTGTATACTATAGCAAGATCATACTCCAAAAATGGATAGTCTAGAGCCCTCTGGGGAAAACTTTGAGGAGTTTAAGGAATAAAATGAATGCTATAAAACACTCGACTAACCATTTAAATCCAATGAAAGAACACAAATCAGTGCCAAACTTCACTGGCTCCTAATCTGGAGACCAGGAAAGGAATAAATGCAAACTATATATTTTATTATATAAAATAAAAATGCAAGAGTTTCAGCTTGTGATGCTAGACTATACGTTTGTGGCCATTATTCAGTTCACTACTGTCTAAGGATGAACAGGAAGAAGCTATATTTTCATCTGGAAGAGAACTATTTATTGGGTTAAATTCCCAGTCGCATTGACTGGATTTTATCTGTATTCTGTGTCTCTGCTTGGTCATAGCAGTAGTTCTATAGAAAGAGAAAAATTGAATTGTCAAAAGTCTGCTGTCATATTCCAAGTTTCAAATTAAGAAGTCTTATTAAAATTAGGAGAAGGACATAGAAATAATAGGACAGGGGATAGCATACAGAGAAACTAAAGAAGACCAACCTGTCTCCATCTCCCAACCTTTTCTTTTTTAACTCTGAAGAAAAAACGCCCAAAGTGGCAAACCAAAAGGAAGAGTAATTCACCACTACAATTTGGGATGTGTTTGTAGGTCTTCTTTTATGTTTTGTTCATCAAAAATACTAGTCCTCCAATCTCTGAAACCCTGCCCACAAATTGATCACCATGTCAATTTCCCATCCTCTGCAGGGGATTTTTTTTAAAGTCTGTATGCCTACCCTTGGTCTAAATAAATTGCACAATTTTGAAACTCAAAGGATCCTAGCTAGATGGCAGCACACACCCATCCTTGCT